AGAAAGAAATTAGCTGGACAACTAAAAGTATATATATAAAAAATCAGCTGGGCATGGTGGTGCATGCCTGTAGTCCCAGCTACCTCCTGCTAAGGCAGGAGGATCGCTTGAGCCCAGGAGTGTGAGGTTGCTGTGAGCTAGGCTGACGCCACGGCACTCCAGCCCAGGCAACAGAGTGAGACTCTGTCTCACAAAAAAAAAGAAAATGGGTATATACTTGTCAGCTGATATATACATGCACACACTCATTCTGTGAGCAATAAAAAATTCTGGAAGCTTAGGCGTCCAAAATATAAATGTATGTTAAATACTGATTGCATGGAAGTTTACTCATGTATTTTTATTCGAATACATTCCTCCTCTTCCTCTTCCTCTTCCTCTTCTCCCTGTTCTCATCTGAATGAGTGTGAATGAACGCCTGTCTAGTTTTAGCAAAGACACCGTCTCGGTCTTTCCAGGTCACGGACATCCTGTGGAGTGACCCCATGGCGCAGGAGGGCTGCAAGGCCAACACCGTCCGAGGAGAAGGCTGTTATTTTGGGCCCGACGTGACAGAGCAGCTGCTACAGAAATACAACCTGCGGCTCCTAATCCGGTCGCACGAATGCAAGCCCGAAGGCTACGAGTTCTGCCACAGCCGCAGGGTGGGTGTCGCCAGAGCGGTCCGAAGGGCCCAGGCCTAGACAAGCAAAGGCTCTGTTTCTAGAAAACCAACTGTGCTTACATATGTTGCCACTTGCTCAAAGCAACTAGGTCCTTTACAATCATCTATCCTTGACTTTTAGAGCCTCTTTAAAACTCGAAATTTGATTAAGACCATTGCTCGCCAGTACCCTGGGAATAAGGGGCAGATTTTATGGGTGGGCATAGGAGGCCAGTGTCTCCCCAGCCACATCTCCATTCTTTCGGTCACATGGCTTGCTGTCACATGTCTCAGACAACCCTACAGGGTAATCAGATTTCTGCACTGTTACCAGGCAGGGATTTGGGAGCATAATTAATGTTCTGACTAATCTTGGGGCATCTCCAAATTTATTGCCTAGCTTAGTGCCCCTAGGATGGGATTCTGTATTCCCAGGAATACTAACTCCACAGGAGAAGAACAGGTTTCCATGCAAAAAAAGGTGTGAGACCAACTAACGTAAGAAAAGTTTGGGTAAATGGTTATGCTGTACGAGTTTCTTTATTGCAGGACTTCTGAGAACCTGTAATATCCTGTGTCCATGGCACATTTCCAGGAGGAGATACAGTGTCTAGCGCTTCCCAAGTCTTGACAAGGGAAACTTCTTCACGAAGCACCTCAGGAGGCACCGCTGTCCGTGGGAAAGTCTGCTTTAAGGCGCAGCATCAGCTTCCAGAATAGATTTGCCTGCCAGTTGTAGTGGCCATCCCGGTCTAGCAGAGCCAGCCTGCCTCTAAACTGAGCCAAATGAGGTGTTTTCTGTGACCCCTGCTATTTTCACTTGGGATAAAATTGTGAAGGAAACATGTTGTGGATGTCCTATCAGAGCTCATGTTTCTATGACTTGAGTCACAACTCCTGCCCTATTAGCGTTGATGGATGGATGGCAGGAAGGGAGGGAGGAAGGAAGGAAGGAAGGAAAAAAGACCCACAGATGCGTACAGAGTAATAGCAGCCCTTGAAGTTGGGGTGGGACGTACTGGATTGAGGATGAAGGCTTCTTCGGTGAATGTAAATACCTGTCTCTCTTCTGCTCTGGTTTAGGTATTAACCATCTTTTCCGCCTCCAACTACTATGCAGTCGGCAGTAACAGAGGGGCCTATGTCAAACTGGGGCCGGCCCTGACCCCACACATCGTGCAGTATCAAGCTAACAAGGCGACCTACACGCTAACCATGAGGCAAAGGCAAGACTTTTCAATGAGTGCTTTTCAGAAAAAATTATTGTGTTCGTAGAACCTTTGAAGTGTCCAATGTCATTACATTTATCCAAATTCTAAGTGAGAATTCAGACAATAGCTATGTCAGCATTACGGGCTAGAATAGACACTATAGCAGGGCCTCTTCTCCTCCATATACTTTTCCTATATCTACCTACCCATCATGAAGGGGAGAAACAAATTTGTTTTCTGCAGAAATTATTTCCAATGGATGTATCCTGGGTAAAGTCCGTATCCCAGGCCACAAAGTCTTTCTGGGGTTACTCTTCCATTTTCTCTCAACCTTAAAGGGTCTGTGTCACCCCCATAAAACAGAGCCAGAGGTTCTTTCACTATCTGGAAGTTTGGCAGATGGATTTCAGTGCACCCATTGGTTAACAATGTCTCTTTCTTTCCAGAAAGAGGCCTGTAATATTAAATTGTGGCTGTTGAGATATTCTGAGTTCTAACCTTAGATGAGAGCTTACGACATACTAAGTGTCATAAAGAATTTATATATATTGCCCCACAATGCACTTATGAATTAGATATTGTTATTAATTTCATAGATGAGATCATTAAGAAACAAAAGTTAAATCAGCTGGCCTATGGTTGCCCCGCTAATAAGTAGCGAAGGTCGGCTTTGACCACGGCAGTCTTATTTCAGAACCCACACGTTTAACCGCCATGCAGTATTGCCTGCCACGGAGAGGGTGCCCTCAGAGTATATAAGTGCTAACAGATACAGTTTTGGCGCTACCAAACAACTGCTTTAATTATGTAGCCTAAATTAGAAATCAAAATAGATAAAGTTAGCATGAAACAAATGGATAGCACATTAATATTTAGCATTTTACCCTGTGTGAGTGCTGTAAAAGTGTATTATTTTAAATCGCTCTGAGTTATTAAACACAAGCTAGGCTCACTCGAACAGAAGGATCATGTAAAAATGTAAACTCACCAAGTGAGTCAAACATACTGTGCAACAAAGTCGTCTGCGGAGCTTTATAAAAAATCAGCCATCGGAACTTCACCCAGCCCCACCAAACTGGAATGGGCAGGCAGCGCTGGCATCTGGAGCACCTAAGTCCATAGGATTTAAGTATTGTCACACTACAAAAGGAGTCACGGTAGGAAATGCTATAGTGTGTTTTTTTTTTTTTTTTTGAGACAGAGTCTCACTCTGTTGCCCGGGCTAGAGTGCTGTGGCGTCAGCCTAGCTCACAGCAACCTCAAACTCCTGGGCTCAAGCGATCCTCCTGCCTCAGCCTCCTGAGTAGCTGGGACTACAGGCATGTGCCACCATGTCCGGCTAATTTTTTCTATATATTTTTAGTTGTCCGATTAATTTCTTTCTATTTTTAGTAGAGACGGGGTCTCGCTCTTGCTCAGGCTGGTCTCCAACTCCTGAGCTCAAACAATCTGCCCGCCTCGGGCTCCCAGAGTGCTAGGATTACAGGCGTGAGCCACCGCGCCCGGCCTATAGTGTGTTTTAATAAGATAATCAGAGAACATTCAGCTCTTTGAAATATTCGTTGATTGCATTAAATAAGCACCATGTCACCTAATTGACCCAGAAGCCACTTACTCAATGACTGCAACTATCTCGAGCACAGTGGAGAACCTAGAAATCAGGGCCACGATGGAGCAGCCGTAATATACGTCTCAGTGTCCATAAACTCAAGATAGCACGCTTTTCTTAGAGGAACCTTTCCTTTTTGTTTAATCCACTTCTCATGATAATGGCATAGCCAGCCTCGGGTCCAGCTGTCAACACGGACTCCTGGCCCCGCCCCTTGCTAGCTTGGTGACCTTGAGATAATTACCCTATGGCTCCATCATGGGCAGACGGATCGTGCCTCCTTCCATGGGCACTGAGGGATCCGTGAGATAATCTGTGCAGAGCTCTGCATTCAGTGAGGGCTTAATACACACCGCTCGACACAGAGATCCCGAGCCGTGTATATCCGATGGCTTCTGCGGGCCTCGCCATGGCCCATCTCTGCACAGCATTCCTGGCCACGGTTTACCAGAAAAAGGCTTAAATGCTTTGCCTTTAAGCAAAGCGTTTTTGCTTAAAGTGACTAGTGTTTTTTAAATGTTTTGGGGTCCTATACTTCTTTTAGCATCCAATAAAACAGCAAACTCCGGAAAAAGAACATATGCTCACATACCCATGAAATTTGGGATGAGTTTTAGGTGGTTCACAGGTTTTAAAGGTCTGTTACGCTAACTACCTTAAACTGCAATGAAGACTTTCACCAAACGTGATTAAAATGTTTTCTTAAAAAAAACTTTTAGCCATTGAGAAGATAGGTTATCTGGTTATTATTTATAGAATAGCTGGTTCTTCAATGAGACACTTCGAATAAAGTACATTTATCTTTTATCTCTTTTATATTCTTGTTTATTCAACTACAGATATTTATTGAGCACTTTGGGCCAAGTTCTGTGCCCAGCATTACTCTATTGGCCCAGTAAGAATGAGAAAATTAAATTAGTGTTATTCCATTATTCATAAGTCTTGCCTTATGGCTGTTTAACATAATAAATTATAAAGAAAGCATAATGATTATGAAAACAGATACCATCCGTTGAGTGCTTCCTGTGTGCCTGGCTTTCTTCTAAGTGATATAGTGAATTTTACTCATTTATTCTTCACAATAATTCCGTGAAGCAGAGGCAGACACAGTTTTATCCATATTTTACAGATAGGGAAACTGAGGCATAGGACAATGGCTAGATAACTCTGCCACGAAGGTGATCTTTTTCCAGAGCTTCCGCTCTGACCGCTGTCCTGCACTAGGAAGGACAGCAGCGGCCCCCAAGCTGATCTGATTTGTGCGTAACAGGGAAAGCGGGAGCTCTTCCCTCAAAAACTGAGCTCTCAGCAGGTTGAGACATTAAGAAAGAGAGAGAGAAAGGTAGTAAAACCCGTGACTTTTCTTCTATACTAACTTTTAATACGTTCCTTTCATCTCCTGTCCCAGGATTAGCAGAGTGGAGGAATCGGCTCTGAGAGCTCTACGGGAAAAGTTATTTGCTCATTCCTCAGAACTTCTTGGTGAATTTAAGAAGTACGATGCAGGTAAAACTGGTAAGAATCTTTTACTTGATTAATTAAAAGATTTGTAGAGAAAGGAAGCTGGCCAGAAAATCTCTCTCTCCAGCAAATAAACATTTAGTGCATGAATGATGACTACCAGTAGTCACTGGACTACTTCCTCCATTTTATTCCACTTAATGTCCATTTATTTCTCTTAAATTTTAAAATTCTAAGCTTTTAAAACAGAATATGAACGTGGCCAAATATAGATGGAGATGGTGAAGAAGAAATGGAGTCAGGGTAAGGGTGACAAGGCCAGAACTAAGCAAAAAACAATGAGTAGAGGAGTTGCAAGAGTGTAGCAGAAAGATCTAGGGCTTGACTTCCTGTTGCTCAGTGTGAGTTCAGCTGTTCCATGATCTATCATCTGAGTTAAAATTTTGTCTTTGCCCAACTCAATGAAATGTTTAATGGACATTTACTAAATAGAGCCCTATTTAAAATAGCAGTAACATTTATAAATTCTTAGCAATACCTTTTCATACACACATATTGTAGCCTTCCAAGAGTTTGAGCGAATAATATATTCTAAGGAGTTTAGGAGGTTTAATTAAAAAAAAAAAAAACCAATGCTGCATATGTATAATGTTTTCCGGTATTATTTACACAAGGCTTGTGTAGCTTCCAGTAGCGTTGCCAGATTTAATAAGTAAAAAATTCAGGATGCCTAATTAGGTTTGACTTATAGACAGACAGACAGACAGGCAACACATCATTTTTATGCAGTATTTGGCACATAATTAGACTTTGTTGTTTGCCTGAAATTCAATTTAACTGGGCATCCTCTATTTTATCTGGAAGTCTGGTTTCCAGCCAACTCTGCCATGGCCAAGAAAAATAGGACAGTGCCTACTACTATTATTTCTCTAGCCTACTGATGGTAAGAGGAATGTCAGGGTGCACCCCACTGGGCAGGAAACTAGACTTGCAGTGGACAAGTCGACAAGCCAGCTCTTTCCCGCAGGTTCGATCGCCCTGAGCGACTGGGCGGCCGCCGTGGAGTCCGTGCTGCGTCTCGGCCTGCCCTGGCGGATGCTGAGGCCGCAGCTGGTGAACAGCTCGGCAGATAACACGCTGGAGTACGGGTCCTGGCTGGAGGACCTGGCCAAGGCACAGCTGAGCCGCGAGGTAACGGTGCGATGATGGTGGACACGAGACGCTGGGAACTCTGAAGCCCCTCACAGAGAACTTGGAGTCAAACAACCAACCGCTGAGAACCCGTAGGGCAGGATGGGGGAGAAACAGGCACAGCTGCCTGTTGAGTTTCTGTGTGTCAGACTCTGTGTGTCAGACTCTGTGTTAAGTGATTTATACTCGTTGCCTCGGTTAGTCCTCAGACCACCCCAATAGGCAGGTTTGTCTGCACTGTTGCACCCATGAGGACACTGCCCACAAAGGTACGTCGTAGGACTCGGGTCCCAGAACTTCCGAGCTATGACTAGAACCCAGGGCTGTCTGACTGCAGGGCCCAGGGTCTTTCCTCGACACCGTGCTGCACCTCCCATTTAAAAACGTATTTATACAATAAATATTTATTGAATATGTAACATACATGAGACCTTGATAAGTCTCATAGCTCCTTTTTAACAGCTTTATTGTGGTATAATTCACATTCTGTGCAATTCGTCCATTTACAGTGTACAATTCAATGGTTTTTGTGTATTTGCTTGTAAGTGCAACCGTCACCACGGTCGACTTTAGAGCATTTCATCGTGGGGTGGGAACTTCTTAAACCACTAGGTTGTTTGATAGGCTAAAGGGGTGGCCGGGGTGGAGGGGTGGTAACATACCTTCAGGTTATTTCAAGAGTGGTAGTCAGGGTTGGTTGTGTGTTAACTATATATTAGAACAAGCCTAAACATGAGACATACAAAGAAAATGAATTTTTTCTTGCAGAACATACAGTCAAGTTTGCTGGAAAAACTGTACCGAAACCGATCCAACCTGGAGACCATTTTTAGGATCATAGACAGTGATCATTCAGGTAAAGGCACTCATTATGCTATCATTTCGGATGATAGCAAGTATTTTACCTCGAACCCTTTGGTCTTCTTCCCAGTTCATACTGATTTGTCTTCACTCAGGCATTTGGGAGCAAAGCAGGTAGACTCAATGCTTCTAAGTGGCCGACACTAGTAAGTACCGGAGCAGAACAAGCATCCCACAGGGAAGGGGCAGGACAGACGAGGATAAAGACAAACTGAATAAGAGCTTCTTATAGGAAGAGTAATTATCAGAGGATGTGATATCCCTTATAGTGCTATCAAAGACAGCCCCAGATCAATACAGAGTGCCTCGAACAGAAAGGACTTTGTAATCGATAAGAAAAGGAAAGTATTTTTTTAAAAAACTTTAAATTTTGAAATAATTATAGATTCATAGGAAGTTATATGAAAAATGTACAAGGAGGTCCTGTACACCCTCACCCTGTTCCCCTAATGGTCCAGAGGCTTTTTCAATGTTATTATTCTTTTTTTGAGGTTTAATTCACATACCGTATAATTCACCCATTTAAAACGTACAGTTCAGTGGTTTTTAGTGTATTCACAAGGTTGTGTAACCATCACCGCAGTCTAATTTCGGAACATTTTCATTACCCCAGAAAGTGACTCATTAGCAGTCACTCCCGTTCCCTGTCCCTCTTCCACCAGCCTGAGCAACCATTAGTCTACTTTCTGTCTCTATGGATTTGCCTGTTCCGGACATTTCGTATAAATGGAATCACACAACACATGGCCTTTGGTGTCTGTGAGCTTTCATTTAGCACAATGTTTTCAAGATTCATCCACGCTAAAGTGATATCTGTTCTTCATTCCTTTTTATGGCTGAATACCACTCCACTGTACAGATATACCACATTTTGTTCACCCAGTCATCAGTTAATAGGCATTTGGATTGTAGCCACTTTTTGGCTATCATGCACGATGCTTTTATGAACATTCATGTGCATCTTTTTGTGGGAACATAATATTTTCAGTTCTCTTGGGTGTATACCTCGGAGTGCAGTTGCTGGGTCATATGGTAATTCTATGTTTAACTTGTTGAAGAGTCGCCAAACTCTTTTCCACAGTGGCCATAGCATTTTACATTCCCACCAACGATGTATGAGCGTTTCAATTTCTCTACATCCTTACCAACATTGTTATTTTCCTTTTTTATTTTTTTAGTTTTTATAATAGCCATCTTACTGGGTATGAAGTATCACATTATGGTTTTGATTTGCATTTCCTTAATAACTAGTTATACTGAGCATCTTTTTGTCTGCTTATTGGCCATTTGTATATCCTCTTTGGACAAATGTTTATTCAAATCTTTTGTCCATTTAAAAATTGGGTTATTTGCCTTTTTATTTGAGTCATAAGAGTTATTCACATATCCCAGATACTAGGATGTTTTCAGATACATGCTTTGCAAATATTTCTTCTGGTTTTGTGGAATGTCTTTTCACATTCTTAGTGGTATCCTTTGATGCACAAACGTTTTTAACATTTAAAAATTTCAATTTATCTTTTTCTTTTGTTGTTTGTGTTTTGGGGTGTCATAGCTAAGAAACTGTTGAATAATCCAAGGTCACAAAGATTTACACTTACGTTTTCTTCTAAGAATTTTATAGTTTTAGCTCTTACATTTAGGCCTTTGATCCTTATTAAGTTTTTTAAGATAGTGTGAGGTAAGGGTCTAACTTCATTCTTTTGAATGTGGATATATA